GTATTCTTCATAATTCTCGAATCTATTTCTATAATCAAATATCTAATCAATTACGAAAACCTTAATAAATACCGATTATATTCTCTTTCTCTTTTATTTAAAATATATGTAAATAATTCTTATGGCAACGTCAACCACAACTAAAGAATATTAAAGTTCATCCATCCAATTGCATTTTGGCATTTTACGTCCTTAATTATTACTCGTAAAGTAGTAAGGAATTGTAAATTATCATCCTTTCGAAAGATTTATTCTTTCCAATCCTTCTTGATTTCAAACGCCCATTCCCATTTAAGATGTTCATGCTTGTCGTCGTCTGTAAAAAGAGAACTAACGCTGTATGAGCCTCGCGCTACGACACCGGCTGGTGCATCTTCAGCTGGAGTAGTGTAAGACTGAAGCTCTGTTTTAGGAGGATATGAGCCTACCATATGTGTCATTTTGTCAACTGTAACAAAAGATAAAAAATGTACAATTCTATTATGCGCTACATACTCTAATTATTGCATATTTCATTTACCCGTAACTCCTAATTTGCATTAGAAGCATTAACACACAAGCAATCGAATGTATTATAATTATTAAGAATGATATCATCATTATATTCAAATACAAAAAAAGAAAAAAATAAATATCATACCAGGTACACCAAGGCGATAAGTCTTTTGTACATATTTTAATCCATGCACGATCTCGCGTTGCACAATAAAATCGATTCTGATTTTATAGCTTACGCCCTCCTTGATGACAAATGTTTGTTTTTTTAGCTGCGATAAATCACCAGTCAAGTCTAATTCCATATCCGGTCGATCAGCGACGCATAATGCCAATTTCTTCACTATTACCTTTCTAGGATCATTAGGATCTACGAGAATTATATAATTATTTAGAATGTTGTCATGCCTACTATATGTTGTAAAGGGATCCAAGTGTTAGTTATATAAAACATTATACAAATAACATGTGATGCGCGCATGCACGCACGCACGCACACATTTTTATAAGCTTGTAAAGGACAATAATTATAATAAATGGCACTGTTAATATAATTATTGTTCTTTACTATTTACTATTTGCTTAGAATAATTTTGATTGATTTAGTTAATTACTGTTTAATAATAAGTTCTTGAAGATTTATCAATGTTGCAGTAACTGTTATCACATCATTGATAATGTTCAACAAGCGATGGTGAATACCCGAATGAAGTTTGAGTACACTGAATTCTCTATTTTTCTGATAATCCTTTCTATTAATATGTGTGAAGACTTGTGATTCTTTTCAATACTTCATCTTTTGAAAGTTTTTTTATCGCTCGATATTTGATGATCATATTAACATATTTTTTTCTTTTGCAACATATGATCGATGTACTTAAATCCTCGGTCTGTCATAACAGCACAGCCATTCAGAAATTCCTATAAATATTAGCTTATTTCCACTATTGCAACATCACTTATTCTTCCACCAAAATTCGAATTCCACCAAATCCGATATAAAATTTATAAGTTCTGAAATTGAAATTCCAACTAATCCGATATATGAAATTATTGCTTGGTTGGAATACAAAAAGTATAATCGAGTGTTGCAAATATTAAATATTTTTCGTATTCTAATCAAGCAATAATTTTATATTTATATAATTGATTTTTGAATTTCAATTTCAAAGCAATTGATTGTCCGATTGGATTGTCCGAAAAGTTCGTGTCGATTTTTGGTAGGTGGCGTAAGGTCTGAATATATCAGAACGATTGAAAACAAATGATGCGTATGATATCGTAAAAGACGATACTTCAGACATACTTGGAAAAAAATTTGGTTGCGATACATTAATTTTTATCAGTTTTATGCCTTTGAATATGGAAGAAAACAAAATGAATTTTAGGCATTTAATGCTTTTCTTTTACCAGAAAGGCAAAAATGTCACACAAGCGGCAAACAAAATATGTGCTGGCGAAGGTGAAAGAACTGAGAAAGTGCGGAAGTGATTTGCTAGGTTTAAAGCTGATGATTTCAACCTTGAAGATCAAGAATGCCCGAGTAGGCTCTCCACCATAAATGAAGATCAAATTAAAACACTGATCGAGAATAACGCTACGTAACACGTAAATTAGCAGCATGTTGAATATGTCAAAATCCATGAGCATTTTGTGAAGCTTGGCTACATAAATCGTTTTGATGTATGGGTTCCCCACGATTTAACAGAGAAAAATCTGATGGATCGCATTTCCATTTGCGACTCGCTCTATAAACGCAACGAGGAGGCACCATTTTTGAAGCAAGTAGTGATGGGGGATGAAAAATGGATCATTTACAATAATGTTGAGCGAAAAAGATCTTAGAGAAAGCGAAATGAACCACCTTTAGCCACCAAAAGCCGGTCTTCATCCAAAGAAGGTCATGCTCTGTGTCTGGTGGAATTGGAAAGGGATCCTGTATTATGAGCTTTTACCAAACAACGATAAATTCAGAGAAGTATTGTTCCCAATTAAATGAATTGAAGACAGCAATTGAACAAAAACGTCCAGAAATAGCGAATCGGAAGAGCGTCGTGTTTCATCAGGACAATTTCAACGCGGCCTCATGTGTCTTTGATAACTCGACAAAAGTTATTGGAACTCGGTTGGGATGTTCTACTCCATTCATCATATTCACCAGATCTCGCGTCCTCTGATTTTCACCTATTTCATTACAAAATTTTCTCTTAATGGAAAAAGCTTCAACACTTTGATCGAGGTAAAAAATCACTTAGAAAAGTTTTTCGCTGAAAAACCTGAGCGATTCTGGAAGAACGGAATTTTCAAGTTGCCTGAAAGATGGAGAAAGGTTGCAGAACAGAATGGCACCTATATAATTTAATAAATTACTAAAATTTAAATCTTCTGCGTTTCAATTTTCCTTCAAAATCGGCATGACTTTTGCGGACAATCCAATATTATCGCGATTGTACATTTGCCACAAAATTCCCTTAAGAAATTCGTATTGATATAGCAATAGGCCAGATTAATAATTTTTTTTAAATGGACGACTAATACCGGTAAAATTTGGCGAAATATGACATTGGCACTAGTTGAATTGAGTCTAAAACAAATTATCACCTAAACGAGAAAACGTGTCATTTAATTTTATTTTCAATAAAGTTGAATAAATGTTACGAACGCTAATGTTTTTTTATTTAACAGATTTATAAATCCATTAGCTGGAAGTCCGATATACATTTTTGGTTTATTAAGAACAAATGTCTTTTTGACGCTGTTTTTAAATAACTTTTCTTTTGTTTTATCACTAGTTTCTTCGGAGAGTAAAAATTCCTCGCACTTTGAGTATATTGTACAAGAATGTTTTTGTGACCATCAAACTTTATAAACTAACAATATTAATAATGATTTTCCAAGTTTCCATTGAACAAGTTCCGCGCATGATTGGATTGCAGTCAATTTACTTCGCACATCAATTTTATTAGTTTAAATTTATCCGTTTATGACATTAATTAATTTTATTTATTTGCATTTTCCTATTTTTGAATATTGCAGGTCTCAGTTGCTTGGTAATTGAAATCCTTCAACTTTCGGAAATCCAAGTTTTAATTCCAAAATATTACAAATGTGTAAAGATTTCTTGATCTTTTGAATTTTTGACTTCAACTATGTGTGGCTTCAATTTCACAGTTCTTTTTTAACTCATCTATAATTAATGCTTCCTAATTTTTGGAAAAGTTCTCTTTCTTAAATGAACATTAACATTTGGATCAAAATCCGAATGTAATTTTCTCCTGCAACTGTGTCACTTGAATAGCACGAATTTATGTGTATAAGGTAGTCAATTTTAATATTCCACCTTGTACATACACATAAATTCATCCCACTCAATGTCCCACCCCAAATATCTTTTTTTCTACGTCTTTTACGAAAAACTGTTTCAAACAGAAATTTCAGGGTTTTAAGGGGCACATCAGATAGTATTATTGCGATCTTGAGTGGCGTTACCAAGATCAAATCAAGATCACATCGATTTGAAAAAAAATGGAAACTCCCATTTTTCATTGCATATTTTTGTAATTTATCTTGAAAGCTTTTTAAGACATTATAACAAAAGTTATAAAGCTTGGAAGTTACGTCGATGTTAGCATTACCCAAAGCGTCTGATCGATGGTTAAAATCTTTTGAATGTCATTTAGAATCATGCTCTAGATAACATTTGATAAGATCAAGATCATTGAAAGTTGTTTCTCTCATTTTCATTTTTGCACTAAAAATTCATTTTTCTCGCTTTTTTTCGGCTTTTTTTGATAAGAAAATTTTTTGCGTTTTCATATTCGTGAAAAAAAAAAACAGAATTTTATAATATCTCTTTGAGTTTTTTTCTAACATCTTGTGTATAATATACATATTCTATATTGGAATAATAGCGGATAACAACAGTTTTGAGTTTAAATACATAAATAAGCAAATATGATGCAACGAATAAGATGAGAGGATTGGTTAACTACTGATGGCTAGTAATGACGACATACGACATTTTCGTGCGAAAAGTCTGGTACAAATATGACAATTTTTAATTCGTTATTAAAATTATAAATATGCATATCATAATTCTTTAAATATCTTTTAGAACAGGTCTGTTCAAAAGTCGATTTGTGAACCGAAATGCTTTCATCTGTCTTGGTAGAGCGAAACAGAGCGTAAATAACAAAGAATAGATGCCGGAATTCTGTCCAAGTGTTGTAGAATAAAAGAGCCAAGAAAACCTGTCTCTCAATTTGCAATCATAATAGCCGTTTTTTATTTTGCCTCATTCTTTGCTTGTGACACTCAATGTGATGCCATCCGATCTTTTTCAAACATTTTTGTTTCTTATTATATACAATATGAATGTTCTCTACAGAGAAGTTTGTAGCAATATTGCTGCAACATGTTGTAACATTGCATATTGCAACGATGCATTTGCGCCTTGAATTCAGGCGGAACACTGGCTTTATTCTTTGTTATTTACGCTTCATCTCGCTGTACTGAGACGGCGGAGAGGTGGAAACATTTCGGATCACGAACCGAATTTCACAAGCCTGTTTTAGAACATATATAAATTATCATTTAAAATATCTGCACATTTAAGTTGATTTTCAGCTTGGTTGTTACCCCTTACTATCTCGCGTGTAGTCTAAGGATATCTCTACATAATTCGCAAATCGCAAAACGTAGTTCACAAATGCTGATGCAGAACGACGATCACCACATGCAAGACACAAATGAAAACCAACTGCATGCAATGAAAAAACAAACACAAATCTTCATTCTGCGTCTGCGTTTGCGAACTATGTTTTGCTATTACGAATTATGTAAAAGCATCTTAAATCGGCGCATTTAAATTGTGCGCGAGTAAGTGATGTAAGAGAAGAAAAACAAATAAAAAATTGGCCAAAATGTGCAGATATTTTCCAGTTATGATTTAAAACAAGGAAGAAAATACTGCAGAATTATAAGTATTAACGCGGGGATAAAAAGAGCAGAACAAGTAGCGAGGTAACTTATAAACAATTTCGAACACAATTGATCATATATTATAGATTATGATTATACATATATTTATAAAAGTAAATGCCCACCTACTACAATGCCGCCGGATTTTGCTTCTCCCAGAAGCGTCTCTTTATACTTGCGCAAACTCTCGTCTTCCTTATCCGTTTCCAAGATCTGTTCGATGGATTTTTCCGGTGGAGGCTTATAACTGGATTCCACGTCCGGCTCCTCATCCAACGCATCTACATGATCACCCGTAGAGTCAGACATCGCTATGTTCAAACCAGGAAAGATATACATATATATATAAATATATATATATAAAAAGAGAAAGAAAAAAGAGAAACAAAAAAGAGGATTAAAGGATGCTATTATACGATATATAAGATCTCCTAAATTTTTTGACACTGCTTGTAGGCAAGTAGAGCAGACTAAATTGAGTAATAAGAGTCAAATAGTCCTCTATCAGTTTGCAATAATTAAGGATGTATCTGAGTCATTTGTATAAATGTTAATATTTATACTTTAAACAAACTATTAATATATATTGTTCGTGCCGATTTTGAAGGAAAATTGAAACGCAGAAGATTTAAATTTTAATATA